TGATGTCTGCGCATCGCACTTGGGATCCCCCTGCCCCCTTCCGCTCGTGGCAAGTGGAACCTTTCAACACAGCTTCTAGGGTGATGGGCACGATACTTCCGGAATTCCCTCCTCGTTGCAATGTCCAGGGCGTTGAGCTCAGTTTTGGACCAATTGAGAATGCCAAATGTGTAGGTCAGCAGTGAGGTAGCATACGTATTGATCGCGAGCGCTGTATTACGTGCGGACAATTCAGATTTTAGTATTGACCTGAGTCTTCGCTTATAATCATCAGAAACTTGTTGTTTTGCATGTTTATGCTGGATTCCTCTCGCTTGCATGTACCCCAGGTACTCATACTGATCTTTCTCAAGCATACCTCCTATTTTCCCTTCTTGTCCCGCAGGTTCATAACCTTCGTGAGCTGACCAAACACCTTTGACTATGCTGCTTGTTTTACACTTATCGAGCCCGAACTTCATCTGGATGTCGCTACTGAATTCTCCTACTATATTTAACATCGAGTGAAGGTTCTCTTTCTGACTGGAGAACAATTTCAAATCATCCATGTACCACAAGTGTGATATATTGCAATCAGATAGAATCATTCTGTGACACACACAATCTTTCATGTGAACACCGAAAAAAAATTGAAGTTAATTTAACATTCTGGATGTAAAAAAAGTGTGCGAGAACTTACAAAATGCTAAAATACCTGCCACAGCAGTTACTTCAGCAATTCCAAGATGTAAAATTAAGTGCTGTGGCGGGTAATTCAGCATTTATAAGTTCTCGCACACTTTTTTTACATTCAGAATGTTAATTTAACTTCCCTTTTTTTTTCGGTGAAACACAGACAGCACACATCATCACCAAAATTACTCCGTAGGTATACACCAAGCAAAATTAGACGACTACTTAGGTACTTACATACTATGAATCATCGAAGCAAACACTAGAACTGACACTTGGGTAGATCTTTATAAAAAACTAATACGTTTGTTGTTAATGAACTTAGAACCCCTGCGGATTCCATCTTTCACGGTCCTTTTTTACGAGGTACTGAACACAAATAAATTAATACTGCACGAACATGATTAATTTAATGATGAATGATTGCGCAAAAGCGCATTTGTTTATCACGGTTCAGACATAAAATAATGTTCCAGATTTGGTGTTGTTGTTTCACACACGGGGATACGAGCTAAGGAAGTGGTGCTCTCAGCGAGCGGGTGGTGAACCATTGCCAGCGGGGAGATTCGACTGTCAATTTTAAAACTTGGGAACGATGCTCGGCAATACCCATTTTACTTTAAGACTATTTAAACATCGAATAGTGATTGTACCCATTGAAGTAGATTTTTGATAGCTTTTTACCGTGTTTAAGGAAATATTATAATATATAATCGTACCTAAATTATGATGTCGATGAATCCAATAGATCCTAATGAATTATAGAAAACCTAAGATTTTTGAGTATCCCCGCGCCGTCATTACTAGGAGGTATCATTAATCAATTATTTAATTGAAGATGCCTCATAACATCGACACGTCGATTCTGAATTTATGAATTCATCACACATCGCGAAGAGATTTGCAATAAAGTTTAGTGGTTTGAATAAAAATATCATAACTATTATCGTTCGATCAAAATTTCAATCGAACTTAATGGTTTTTTTGAAATTGGCAGTATTTTTCTAAATAGGTAACCCAGTAAAAGTGCTTATGCCGGCGTGGAGCGCCGGCTTTAACGAGAAGGTCTTGTGTGATACTCTTAAATTAAATAATTGATTAATGATACCTCCTAGTGAAGACGGCGCCGGTGATCCTAAAAATCGTAGGTTTTCTACGATTCATTAGAATCTATTGGATTGTAGAATTGGTATCCTCGTGCCCATATGCCGGCGCGAAGCGCCGGTACGCGTTGCGCCGGCATAAATTGGCCGTAGGTAAATTTTTTTAAGTACTTGATGCCGACGCATTGTTTATTTAAGGCAGGCGCAAAAAAATCCGCAACAAATTGTAATTCATTTTCTGATATTTCTTGAATAGCTCAAACAATGGAAAATGCCATAACTATATTACTCCTACAAACAAGTGGTAAAAAGTAGAAGAAAAGTGAAAAGTAAAGAGAACGAGGCAAAAGAGAGAGGAAAAAGAGGGGAAGGGGGGAGGAAGAACAGGGGGAGTAATGGTGAAGAGTAGGAGGGTGGCTCCCATACATTCAGTATTTCAGTACCTACCTAAACATAGGTAGGTACAAAATTATTTGCCTGAAGCATCGTCATTCCTGCTGCGGAGGGAGCAAAATACTTCAAGTAAAGTGGAGAAGGCAGGAGGGGATAAAACAGGGGTAAGGGGGCTCTTACCCCTGTAAGGGAGAAGTAAGTTGGGTCAAAGTTTATCAATCGTAAAGAAAGAAAAATAATCCCCCACATAATGTGACCCCGTCACACCTGCCTTAGTTCAGGAAGAAGCACTTGAGAGGAAGTGTTTGGTTTGCGGAGGAGATGGTAAAAAGGGGAAAAGGTCGGGAGGACATTAAAATTGGTAAAATGTGAAGAGGAAGAAAAATTCCCAACAGGAAATACCATCATGACCGCGGCGCGGTCTCTTCAATATTTAGATCTGATACCTCGTAACACCCGGAGTTCGACATTAAAACACCTGCAAAAATGGGTGAAAATCGGGGACTTTCTCCCCCCATAACTCGAAAACGGTGCGTATACTCAACCTGAAATTGTAGTTTGTGTAAAGGGTCACCCTAAGGATGAAAAAAAACCTCACTTCGACCCCAATTTCGAGGGCCCAAAAATAGGCCACTATGTGCATGGCTCTTTTGAAAGAAAGTGAACAGATAGATTCTGAGATTTCGCTGTACACAGATTTGGGGCACGCTTGACGGATAGACACACTTTTTTTCAAGTATGGTTATTTTGACTCCTGGGATCTGAAGATGTCTAGAAATGATTAAATTTCATTTTTTTTGTCGGAGGATGACAATGTAAAAATATTTTTAAAAAAAATAAATAAATGAACAATTTACGAATGTCTAAATGCTGAGAAAACACCAAGATCAGACATGTCATCACGAGACGCTTATCGTCAGATTTAAATCGATGTGAGGATATGAAGTTCCTTTTAATTTCCTGCACTGCAAGAAATTTTCTGCCAAAGTCAAAAGACAGCCTTTCTTGTCTACCAGAAATTTGACCTCATCATTTGCTCAAATCAGGGCTTATCCATTAAAATAAATGATGACGTTAGTAGTTTTAATTAATTTTTTGAACGGGAAAAATTGAAATATTTCTTAAATCTACACGCTTCGTACCCGTTAGCTACAATTCTTAAAACTGACCTACCTCCTCTTCTTTATTTTTTGATCGGTTGTTTTCAGCCAAACGAAATTTTTACACTGTTCTTAGGACGGAAGTAACTGCTTTTGGGCATACTCAAGATGTCAGAGGCGGCTCCCTCAGGCCGTTGGGCGGACCCAAACCCAAAACTTTTGGATGGCTATTGCAAGAAGAAAAAAAAAAGAAAATTTATGGGCACAAATGGAACCCTTTACGATATTCTTCGCCGAGATATTTGCAATCAAAATTTAAAATTGCCCTGTTTTCAAAAAAATTTTGTGCGCTAATTGCAAATTCCTAATAAATTAAACTTGTGATTCTAATGGTCAACATAGCAAAACTTTCAAGAAAAATTGCAAATTTTGACATAGAAGGTCGCAGACCGACCCCTGCCGCGGCTATCCTGCAGGCAGCTTCTCCCCCTCCCTTCTCCCACGTAACATTAGAATCACAAGTAAGTATGGTTCCCTAGGATTTTTCAATTTGCGCACACGATTAACTGAAAACAGACCTATTTCAAACATTGATCGCCAATAGGTATCTTGGCGAAAAATATCATGGACCTCCATTTATGCCTTTTTTATCCTCTTTTTGAGATCGCCACTAGAAATGGGGATTGCCACTCCGCTGTCGAGCTAATACACTCTTTCATTTTCTTATCGGGGCATCGTGTGAATTAGAGGAATTTTCATTTTTACAAACATTTTCAAAAGGTTTGCCAAAAGCCGAAATCCTCTTTTGCCCTTTTTAAAGAGGAAAGTTCTTTAGGAACGCTTGTTGTCTGGCGTTGTCGCCAAGTTGCACGGAAAAAACGTGCTTAGCGGTTTTCGCAGTGGCACACCGATTGTGATGAAGAATGGATGGACATTAAAACTACGAGAGGTCTCCTTGATATTGAACTCCATGCTCAAGCGAAGAAGTGAAATGTTCAGCGATGAACGTGGAGTCTAAGATCTTGGACGTGATGAGCAGGCAAGTTTACCAAGGGTGAGCATGCAGTCCAATATCTTAGCCGCGATGCTACATAATTGTTGAATCCCCAAGAGTAAAAGCTTCCACCGGTCGTGAGGAGGCCAGTTAAGGGTCTTTTGTATCTGGAATTTATTAAGGAACGTTTTTCGCGGATTGCAATATTAACCAATCAGAGACCAGGATTCAGAGTTAACCGGTGGTTAAAGTATTTGACCGGAGGTTAAAGTATCTGTCTAATAACTTCCAATTTGACCCGCTGTCAAGCTTTTGACCAGGGTAGTTTGCGGTTACAAGAGGTGATGAAGGGTGTTGAGGTTACTTTTATGTTCATCCCTTTGTCAAATGTAACCAGCAGCTTGACCAGAGGTAATAAAATCGGTCCTAAAGATTAACGTGCCAGACTTTTTTCTGACCGAATTTTCCCCCCAGTCGTGCATTTTTTGCATTTTTCTTTCACTATTGACTCTTTATAAGTTTAAAAAACGACGACTCACGGAAAATAAATTTCCTAATATTCTTACGTCTTTTCCTTTGAAAAACAGGGAGTATTATACAGACATTATACTTCTCACGCATACGGGCACTTGCGTGAAAAATTAAAGGATAAATACCGACAACATTGTACAAGATTTCATTTCATTGTCATTTCATCGTCATTGTCATCCGTGTGGAAATTGATGCGTAAGTGACATTATGTTTCTGTCTCAGCTAATGTATGTTGTGGGGACACTTATGGAGCGGCCAATCATATTTGATGAAATCATACCGAAGTGCACACTCGCTATAGATATGCTCAGTGAAGAACTGGATGATTGTCTTGTAAGTTCTGACAGTTATTATTTGAAAATCCCTCTGAAAATACCTGCACGAGAGGAATCTTCCCACAAATAAAAGTTGTCGATTTTTCCTTCACAAAAATTAGTTAGGCCGTAAATGTTTTCCCGTGGAGCCGTAAGTGATAGAAGTATGTACTCTGTCTTTAAAACCTTAGTATTACTAAGAATTTAAAAAAAAGAAGCCTCAATTAACAAATAAGAATGAAATAATGAGAAACAGAAAGGGCAAGCCAAGTATAAAGGGTATATATTAGGGGATACAGAGGACGGAAGCTAGAAGCAGCAGCGTGGCAAGAGCTCTTGAGAGCAAGCGACTGAACTGATTGCAGTTAGCAGCGGAGTGATTCCTGCTATCGCGCCGGCCCGTCTCCCTTCCACTGAACCTCTCTCGGCTGGCGCGAGTGTGATTGATCCGCGGACTTCATGCGATAGTTCCACACTTACGGACGCCCCTCCCCCATCCCCCCAATTACGCTGGTATTCGTTTTCCTCCCTCCAGCCCATCGACCGTCTCACTCTCCTTCCGCTATGTTAACTCCATAACTTTCATAATGTTTCTGCAAGGAGGAGGGGCCCAGGCGCCAAAATGGCGGCAAAAATGACTGACGCTGCGGGCCAAAATTTGAAATAGTATAAATACATCCATCCAGATAAGTAAAAATTCCCATGTATCTTCGGTCGTTGAATTCAAAGATGTCGTTTAGAATTATATCTGACCTCTTGGCGAGCCCAAAATCCAAAATGGTGCCCAAATGTTGCTTTTTATAAAAGGATGGAGGATGGAGGGACATAAGTCTTCATAATGGCGTGTTGGGTGCCTTTTCCTAGGTTTACTGTGTCAAAAAATCAAAATTCGAGACTGAAGGATCTTTTCCTTCTCCATAACAATGAAAATAGCGGAAATAAGATATGACTAAAAATTGAAATACACGGTGTACGGCAAGACAAGTATCTTCTCTACAGGGTGATCCAAAAGTCCCTTCCACCCCCTCTAACTTTTTACCTAATTGAGGTAAAGATTTGAAACTTGGGGGATATTCCTAGGTCAAAGGGAGCTACTTTTTGGCCCCCTAAAATTTTCAGGGGGGCCCCCCTTGGGGGGCAACGGCCCCCAACTTTTAATTTTCATACGGGAAGACCCCCTTTGTGATAGCTCGTTCGAAAGAGCATAAAAAAAGAAAACTTTTCGCGCAAACCCGAAGTCAATATCTTAAACCGTTTCAAAATGGCGGCCGGTTAAAGTTCAAAATGGCCGAAAATTCACACCGGTTATTTGTCAATGGATTTGCGCGAAAATCGATATGTGGGGGTATTTTGACACGAATTTGACTTTAGATTTTGAAAAAAACCGAAATTTCCAAAATGGCCGCCGGTTAAAGTTTAAAATGGCCGAAAATTGTCACCTCGGTTCTTTGCTGATGGATTTGCCTAAAACTTGGAATTTGAGAGTATTTTGGCATGAGATAAACAAATTTGAACTTAGATTTCTAAAAAAATCAATTTTTGGTCATTTTGAACTTTAACCGGTGGCCATTTTGGAAGTGTCGGTTTTTTTGAAAATCTAACGTCAAATTCGTTTTTCTCGTGTCAAAATACCCCCACATACCGATTTTTGCGCAAATCCATCAACAAATAACCGGTGTGAATTTTCGGCCATTTTGAACTTTAACCGGCCGCCATTTTGAAACGGTTTGAGATATTGACTTCGGGTTTAAGCGAAAAGTTTTCTTTTTTTATGCTCTTTCGAACGAGCTATCACAAAGGGGATCTTCCCATATGAAAATCAAAAGTTGGGGGCCGTTGCCCCCCCC